ACAATCTGAGGTACAGGATCTCAAGATAAATCCTGAGGGGATTTCACTAACCTTCTCAGACCCAAAAGCTACAACTCTTGTTGCATAGGTTCTGCTTTACCTTGGTCTCAACCATCCAGCAGAAAAGTATAAAAATGAAGTATAAGAAATAAAGCCATGCTGTTATGCTGAGCTGCAGGGGACTCAGGTCAAAAATTTCTGACATTGCCAGTGAAGCAGAAGACCCAATACTCTTATGGGCTACTGGACTCTTTTAGAATATTTTGCTGAGTTCACAGGCCTATAATATTTAAATGGTGGAACTTAAGAAAAAAAAGGAATACAGATGAATGTCCATTTTGTATCTGTGTATTCAAATTGGTTAGGATAGATATATAGTTACATTCTCTTAATGAATATAGGGATTTGCTCTAATGGTGTTTGTAAATAGTATATCAAGTCTGCATCTTGTACAGCAATTAACCACTAGGAAGAATGTATGCAGTGTGTTAATTATTGAAACTGTCCTACCAATTCGGTTTGAAACTGTCTCATTGCTATTTGTTTCTCAATAAAATTGTGGAAAAAAATTTTTTTAATTTTAAAAAAACCAAAACAAGAGAAATAAAATAAAATAAAAAGTTCGTAAATTAAATAGGACTTTCATTGTATTAAGTAGAAGCAGCAACTACTTACATTTACTTATAAGTAATTGATTTAATTATATTAGAATTCTATAATATTCTATAAAATTATTCATCAAATCATTTCTGGATAAATAGTAAAGGGTATTTGTTGAAATGTTGATGTCGGGGAGATGGCTCAGTGGAATAAGTGCTTCCCTGGCAAGCGCAAGGGCCTGAGTTCAATCCCCGGTTCTGAAAAAAAAAAAAAATTGGGCTGGGAGATGGTTCAGTGGAATAAGTGCTTGCCTGGCAAGCACAGGAGCCTGAGTTCAATCCCCAGTTGTGAAAAAAAAATCAGAAATGTTGATGTCATTTTTCAAAAAAAGTATTACTACTGTACAATATAATGACATATTTATCTGTGCCAGAAAAAAATAGAGAATCTGCCTGATGATAGCAATGTAGCCATTGTCTATGCTTAAAGAATGAACTTAGGAATAGATGTTTATTCTTTTCTTAAAGTTTCCTCTATCTTCCAAGCTCTCTACAGTGAATGCATAGTATTTATGATAAATGAATGAAGAGTTACAAGTTTCTTAATATATTTGTACCTTTTGGCCCAGAAATTTTACTTTGAAGATGATATCCTTCATAAGGAAGTAAACATATAAAAATGAATTTACAGTTGTTTTGTGACTTTTTCATAATGGTAAAATGCTAGAAGCAACTCAAATGGCCTACAATAGGGAACCGAGTGAAAATTTTCAGTGCATTCATGTGATGGAATATTGTATAATCTTAAAATTGGGTTCCTGTGAAGATTTATGAATAAGAAGAAACTCTTAAATTTAAAAGGCATGTAGACAACTAGGCAAACATAGCTCAACTACAAGTTTGATTGCCTAGAAAAATATTAGAATGCATATGAACGTGTTAACACGGATTACCACTGAGTGGTGAAGTTAACTTGTATAGATGTTTTGGGTTCCTTCTGAATAATTTTCCATTCATTTTATAGTGTAATTTTTATAGATGGAAAAATGCAAACAACAAATAAGCTTGTGTGAGTGGTAACATGAAGATATAAGATCTGTAAGATAATGATCCCTCTGGTTTTAATTAATTAATTAATTTAGTTTTGTAGTCCTGAGGATTAAGTCCAGGACTTTCAAAGGGAGCTACATCTCTAGACCTTCTTAATAAATAAGTATATATTTGAGACAGGGTCTTGCTAAGTGTATTCCTTGCCCAGGCCAGGCTTGAACTTGCAGTCCTTCTGCTTCAACTCAGAGAGTGCTGGGCTCCAAATACTTTCTCAAGTTGCCAATTTCATTCAATCTGCCTATGTACCAAAGAGTTATGTGGGGTTACTGAGTTATTTTCTCTTTACTCCCTGAACCTCCCTAAGAAAGAGTAGGAAGAATCTGAAGCAACGTTTTGCTTTGCTCTTTGAGATGTTTCCAAGGAGAGGGGAAAGGGGTCTTGCGGGGCTGCCCCGACCCATTCCGGAACCCTGACACTAAGGGTTCTCTTCAGGACCTAATGAGGCTATGGGCACAGCAGTTCAAGTCCCAGAGCCCTCAGTGCCCTGCAGCCTTCCTCCCTGAGGTAAGCGTCACGTCCCCAGGGACATTTTGTTCCATGCAACCAGAGAACATCCTACCTTTACACTCTCACAGGCAGCAGCACCATCAGGAGCACTATCAGGTGTGAGTACTGAGTGTGATAACCACCTCTGCCCAGAACACTAAGGGCAGGGATGCCGCCCGCGTGCCCTGAGCACTTCAGGTATCATTGGTTGCAGTAGGCCTGGTGGGCTGTGCCGCCTCGGTCTAAAGGGATCAGCACTAGACAGCCCTGCTTCCACCCTATAGGGCTCAGAGCTTCCCGCAGGCTTCGCGGTACAGCCAGGGACCCAGTCAGTCAGTCATTCACGCTGCCTTCCCGGAGGAGGAGGACAGAAAACGTTTTTTGGAAGGTCTTGTGTCATTTTTCCACGTCCCTCTCCTTCTGTAAAATGAAAAGCACTCCCTCGCATTTACTGATTTCATGCGCTACCGCTTTAACACATAGTTTACACTCCCTAGCGGTTACCCAAGGGAATCGCGGGTGAAATCTTCCACGCCCAGCTGTGCAACCCCGAGTCCCCTGTGCAGACAGGAGGAGAGGCTGCAGCATGTGACACTGTGCTGCAGCGAGGGCCTTACTGTGCCTTTCTGTCTTCCAAGTGTGTCTGACCGACTGTACCGGGTTTGGGATTTTTTTTTTTTTTTAGTTGACAGCTTTGAAAATGCAACAGGGCAAGGCGTTTGCAGGCAGAGCGGAGACCTAGGCAGACAGATAGAGCAGAGCAGAGTAGCGAGGCCGCTGCTGCGGGAGGAGAGAAGGTGGGGCAGCGTGGCTCCTTACTTGACCTGGCCGCCCTCCGTGTACGTGGTGCGGTAGAAGCCCACGAGCGAGCCGTCCAGCCGGCCTGCGAATTCCAGGCGCAGGCGGTAGAGGGCGTCGTCCAGCGTGGCGGGCAGCAGCTGCGCGGGCTCCAGCACCACGAACTCCTGAGCGCGGTACTCGAAGCAGCGAGTGACGGGCACCGCTGCGCCCGCAGGCGTGTGCAGCTCGGGGACCCGCGTGAGCTTCGTGTCACGCAGGTGCAGCCACAGGAAGCGCGTGGGCTCTGCCAGGCGCAGGGAGATGGTCACGTTGCCCGTGTAGGTGTCCTGCTCCAGCTCCGGCCACACCTCCAGGTCGTAGTGCACTGGGACGACTGAGTCCAGCAGCCGGAAGGCCGTCCACGGCCCACTCGAGTCCTCGCTGACCGGGCAGGCGCTCTCATCCTGCGGGGGAACCACCGACGGACCCGCGGTGGGTGTGTCTGGGGTCCCTGTTTCAGCGGAGGTGGTGCACGACCGGGTCAGCCCCACGGAAAGTCCCACGATGAGCCCCACAGCCACCACCACTGCGCAGATGATGGCCGCGTGCTTGGCCCGGATGCAGTATCTTTTGGAGTCTTCTTTGTCTGCGAAGTTCATCGTGGCTGCCGCCAGCCGTCCAAAGTTATGGTGGAAAGATATTAAATTCAAATGAACGATGTCAGCTGACTTCCTTTCCCAAACTGGAAGGGATGTCCTGGCGCTCTAAGTCCTCTCCCCGCGGCCTCTGGGGTCCTGTCCGCTCTTCCAGGCTCCTGCCAGCTGACTTCCTCCCCCAAACTGGAAGGGATGTCCTGGGTTGGCAGCCTGTCCTGGCGCTCCAAGTCCTCTCCCCGCGGCCTCTGGAGTCCTGTCCGCTCCTCCAGGCTCCTGCCGGCCCGGGGAGGGACAGCAGCTGCGGCGCGAGTGCGGGCCAGGAGCTGCAGGCTGGGGCTGCGCTTGGGAGCGGCCCCCTTATGAACCAGGGCCCGGTAGGCCCTGCCCCGGGCCAGTTAAATATAAAACAGGACTCTTCTTATCAGCCAAAGGGAGGATGGCTTTTTTTTCTCTCTCTCTCGCTCTCTCCAAAGCTCAATGAGCAGCTTTCAGAGAGAAAGCGTTTGGCTAAGGGGTGTGCTCACCAGAGAAAAACTCAACCTTTGCCACTGTGTCTAACTCCTTCCTGTGGGGCTGACAGTGGCTTCTTCTGAACCCCCGGGCTTCTTGAATTTCACTGTTTTGTCGGGTCGCCTGCCAAGAAAGCTAAGTGTTTTCGCTTTTTTCCCCATAGGGTGTGCACATTCCTCTTCTACCCTTCGGAAAAGCCATTTCCTAGGGCTGGTGTTGGGAGTGATTCATAAATTTAAGGCTCACTTGGGTGTGCAGGAAACGCTGGTGAAATTGGTGGTCAGTAAAGCAGAACGGGGTGACCCCAAAGCAGTTCACATGATGCTGGGTGAAACGGGGGAGCACAAAGAGAGTAGGGAGAGGGAGGGAGGGAGGGAGGGAGGGAGGGAGAGAGAGAGAGAGAGAGAGAGAGAGAGAGAGAGAGAGAGAGA